GTAAATGGGGGGGGGGGGGGGGGGGGGGGGGCTGCAGGAGGTAGAGTCTGGGTCGCATCAATTATTCCACAAAAAAGCGATTACAAAGTCAAAGTACAACTATTATAATCTGCTGAACCTTTATTAATAACAAAAACATTAAGGCTCACATTCTTCCTCCTACTCCTTGTTGCCAGATATCAGGCAGCGCTTCTTCTTACACAGCTGAGCAATATTTGGCTTGAGTGATGAAGCAACTGAGACCCTCACTATACCTTGAAGATGCTCATCAGTAAGTTTGGCCCTGAACTTTGACTTGTTAAAGTTCATAGTGGAAAAACGCTTTTCACACAGATAGGTACTCCCAAAAAAGGCAAGCGTCCCGCATTAGAGGGCAATGCTCTCATAAATTTTCCAAGCTTGTCTGTTTTTCCATTCACCCCACTCAACTTAGCCTTAATTTCAGAATCGCACTGAAGATCACTCCATTTAATGCGCAAGTTGTTGGAGGTAGGGGGGAGGGATATCTTCCATATTGGAGGATAAAGGGTCAGCAAATATTTGAAAATTGTCTCTGTGTGTTTTAAAGTCTGCAAACCTGTGTGCTTCTTCCAAATTGAAGGAGAAATGTTCAGCAAAAAGTTGAAAATATGATCAAATTCTTCCTGTAGCTTTGCAATGGAATCAGTAAACTTACTACTGTAGAGTGTGCCCTAGTCCATGAATACTTTGCGTGTTGGGTAATGGCAGAGATGTATCTAAGAATCATAACACAAGTTTTGAACAGAATGCGCTGACATTGTCACTGGCAACACTGACAAGCTACCCCTGGTCTTGTAACTTCTTGTTGAGTACATTCATTTCCTGTGTACTGTCAACAAGAAAAGCAAAGTCCTTGAGCCTTTTGGGATCACTTAGTACAGGAACAACAACTCAATCATTCTCCATGAAGGCTTTGAAGGCTAAAACGTGTTCAAACTTTAGGCAGAGGCAGGCAATATTTTTGAATTATTTATGCGATGGAAGATGCTATTGTAGGGAGAATGAATTTTTATTTTTTATCGAAGAAAAGGCCTTTTGACTAACCCTATTTTGAAAGTGACCAAGCTGACAGGCTCGGAATTCCTCTCACTCGTAAACGCTAGCGGCAATTTTAATAGGGATTCATTGATACTGTGTCAGGTTGCTACGATTTACACAACTATGGTTGTGCACTAACCACTAAATGACTTTTAAAACTTTTCTCAAAACCACACTTTGGCCGCCATGTTTGTCTCATAAAATGCTATAAAATAAAAACTTTTAGTCCGATTTTTTCTACAACGGTTTTTACCATTAAAATCAACGCCCAAATCTATACAAACATAGTAAAAATCAGAATTAGACTAGTCGGTGAGATTCTACTAAAACTTTCGCAGAGGGTCACATTATAATTAAGATATGAGAATGGGCAAAAACGCATGGACCGCATTAACACTAAACTTTGCTGTCATGTAGCGGGCCGCAAAATACCGTCTTGTGGGCCGCAAAAGGCCCGCGATTTTGAGACCCCTGTGCTACATGGTTACATTTTTTTTTTGGGGGGGGGGGTTGGTGGTGTCGGAGATTCGTTTTAAGTTTCTATTTTAGGCATACGTTTTTAGAGCACAATGAAAAACAGTCGCATACTGAGGCCCTTAATTTAATAGAGTTGATTTATTTATGAAGGTTTGTAAATGAAACGTCGTACCTTGGATTTTTAAAATCGTAATAAATCTTCACCATAACTGCTGCCAGACCCGTGGCAAACAAAAGCTTGGGGAGGGGGGCTGAATTTATGTGTATATTTACATATTTTGTAAGAAAAATTACGATTTGGCAACCTCTGAATACGGTATCTCCTTCAATACCCCATACCCTTTCGCAAAGCCCCATCTTGTGCATATTATAAACGATAGTTTATGTTTTTTCAATCAACTAAGACTGCCATACATTTCCGCAGTTCAACCATCTTATTAATAAGTAGGCCTACTCTATTACCGCCGTGGTCGTAGGCCTACATGGTCTGGCGTATGAAGGCTGGGGCGCAGGGCGCAGAACACCCCAGGTGGCACCTGTTTTCATATACTGAGGGGTGGCATTTTCGACCAAAAGCAGATCTTTTTAGTGAGGGGTCTGGCATAAATCTTGGCCCGCCCCGGATAGGAATAACCCTAGCTGCCCTACTGCGGAGCCTACATTGTGCACATCCAACATATTGACATAAACCTAAAGGTAAGGTAAAAGCTAAAAGCTCTACCATGTTAGTGCCTTTTGAAAGAAGAATCAAGAACAGCTTGAATGAAGATCTAGAAAACTGGAAATTGGCGTCGAAAACTTTGTTAAAGAGGTCACAGACAATGTTAGTTCAAAATCAGTAGTGCTGACATAACTAGTCACTAGACTATAACTGACCTTTGATTGCTGCTTTTCCAAATAATTTATGTTGGTGTTGTAATAAATAAAATATATATAAATAATGTATAAATACTGCTATTAAAGCGGGGGGAGGGGGGGGGGAGTCATTTTAATCCATTTCACTTTTAATAATGTTTAATCATTTATCATTCCATTATCACAATTTTGAGAGGAAAATACTTGATTTGTTAAAAAATTCGTCCTGATTGATAAATAGCTCGTCATCATAATAAAAAACGTTTATACGGTTGTTTCTGTAATTTGTAATGAAGATAAGCAATATTTTAGTAGATTTAATCTTTAGCACGTTGACAGTTTCACATATCTGGGATCCAACATATCGAGCACCCTCTCAATGGAGGATGAGATAAGTGGGATGATAGGGAAGGCCGCAACCGTAATGGCCAGACTGAAGAAAGGAGTATGGTCAAACGCAAAACTCACAACAAGAACTAAGCTGCAGGTGTACCAGGCCTGCGTACTGAGCACACTCCTGTATGGATGCGAGTCGTGGACCACATATACTATAACCACGAAATAAGGCTCAATGGCTTCCACTTCAGATGCCTGCGCCACATCCTTGACATTAAATGGCAAGATAAAGTCCCCAACACGGATGTCCTGTCCCTAACAAACATGTGTAGCGTCCCAGCCATGTTAATCCAAAGACGCCTCCGCTGGCTTGGACACGTCAAGCGAATGCAGCCTGGTCGCATACCATAGGGCGTGCTATACAGCGAGCTGGCGACAGGGAAAAGGTCAGTTGGACGGCCTCGTCTGAGATACTTAGACATATGCAAAAGAGACATGAAGTCGGCCAACATCGACATCTCAAACTGGGAGGAGCTGGCAGAGGATCGATCCTCATGGCAGGACATCGTGAAGGCAGAATCACTACATGCCGAGGATCAAAACAGGGCGGAAACAGCTGCAAAAAGAGCGAGGAGGAAGGCCGATAAATACTGCTCCACCGCATTCGTGTGTGGGAAATGTAACAGAGACTGCCATTCGAGGATTGGTCTCACCAGCCACACCAAGAGCTGCAAGCAATAAAGCTAATCTATCGTCTCCCGCAGACGGAAAGATGCCATACATAATATTAAGACTCTTATTGCTTTATTCAAAACAAACACTTTGTGACAAGTTGTTAGAAAAATGTGCTTGTAAATATTTATTGACGGGGGTCGAAACCAGAATTAGTGACCTGTACAGAAAGTAAAACTCATAAAGTTTCTTTTATATGAAGACGGGTATATTCAACTTTTGCGTAACTGTTATAATATGGGCTAGTTATCTATTACCTGGGATAAGCCGTGGAAAGTGAAGCAACCAATAGCAAGTGAGCAACCTCATTATTCATCAATAAAGAATAACAATTAAAACCCTATATAAATCAACCCTTTGATAGTTAAATTCCGGTTATAAAATATTTCTAATTACATTAATTGTATCCTTCATCCACGTTATCCCAGGATAAGCAAACCCCGCTTTGAAATGAGAAACCCCACCTCATACCCTTAAAATGCCACCCCACCTTCTTTGACGCTGGTTGAGCTTAGCTAAGTCAGAGACTCCTTACCTATGTATTTTACAATTTTGTTCAGGTAAATAACTCGTTTTTTAACACATCAGCACAGAGAGCACAGAGAGCTTTATCGATGATTTATTTAATAATAGCTCCAGATGAAAGAAACCACTTGAGTGTTTGAAAGATATAAAAACAAACATGGCGAGACATGGCGAGACAAACATCGCCAGACGAACATGGCAAGACAAATTTTTTTGGAGTCTTTTTTTTTTTTATACACCTAAAATAATAGAAATTGTTTAAAGAAGGCGAATGAGCTTTTGAAAACAGAAGAAATCAGGTTACACACAGAGCATATTACATATGCAACGTATCATACATAATATCTTGCACGTATAATGCTACATGCAGAGCATATATTATTTATAACTAGCGAGAACCCGGCATGCGTTGCAATGCCACCATAAGAAAGAAAGTGTTTTTGTTTAAATGCTGTTTTTTTAAAAGTACTTTTTATATTGAAAAATAAAATCAGAAGGTTTGTTGATCCGTGAGCAGGCCACGTACAGCTGTCCATGTGAGAAGTGAGCAGGCCACGTACAGCTGTCCATGTGAGAAGTGAGCAGGCCACGTACAGCTGACCATGTGAGTCCAAGTTTTGGTTTTGCCCCCCCCCCCCCTCCCTTTCCCTGAAAAAAAAAACTTGAAATGACGCCCCTGATGGGCATTGTCTATATACTAGACAAGTCAACATAATCCTCCTCTTACTATTCAGCACTTAAAATCGAAGCATTGTCTGTGTAGCAAAAGTTGCCATAATCTCTCTC